TTGACTCTATCCAATTTGCCTGTCTGTTTCTTTTAATTGGAGCATTTAGCCCGTTTATGTTTAAGGTTAATACTGTTATGTGTGAATTTGATCCTGTCATTATGATACTAGCTGGTTGTTTTGCCCGTTAGTTAATGTAGTTTCTTCATAATGTCCATGTTCTTTACAATGTAGTATGTTTTTGCAGTGGCTGGTACTGGTTGTTCCTTTCCATGTTTAGTGCTTCTTTCAGAGCTCTTATAAGGCAGGCCTGGTGGTGACAAAATCCCGCAGCATTTGCGTATCTGTAAAGGATTTTATTTCTCCTTCACTTATGAAGCTTAGTTTGGCTGGATATGAAATTCTGGGTTGAAAATTCTTTTCTTCAAGAACATTGAATGTTGGCCCCCACTCCCCTCCCTTCTGGCTTGTAGGGTTTCCGTAGAGAGATCCGCTGTTAGTCTGATGGGCTTCCCTTTGTGAGTAACCCGACCTTTCTCTCTGGCTGCCCTTAACGTTTTTTCCTTCATTTCAACCTTGGTGAATCTGACGATTATGTGTCTTGGGGTTGCTCTTCTTGAGGAGCGTCTTTGTGGTGGTCTGTATATTTCCTGAATTTTAATGTTGGCCTGTCTTACTAGGTTGGGGAAGTTCTCCTGGATAATATCCTGAAAAGTGTTTTCCAACTTGGTTCCATTCTCTCTGTCACTTTCAGGTACACCAATCAAATGTAGATTTGTTCTTTTCACATAGTCCCATATTTCTTGGAGGCTTGTTTGTTCCTTTTTATTCTTTTTTCTGTAATATTGTCTTCTCTCTTTATTTCATTAAGTTGATCTTCAATCACTGATGTGCTTTCTTCCACTTGATCGATTCAGCTATTGATACTTGTTTATTCTTCACGAAGTTCTCATGCTATGTTTTTCAGCTCCATCAGGCCATTTATGTTCTTCTCTACGTTGGTTATTCTAGTTAGCAATTTGACTAACCTTTTTTCAAGGTTCTTCGATTCCTTACATTGAGTTATAACATGCTCGTTTAGCTCGGAGGTGTTGGTTATTACCCACCTTCTGAAGCCTACTTCTGTCAGTTAGTCAGACTCATTCTCTGTCCAGCTTTGTTCCCTTGCTGGCGAGGAGTTGTGATCCTTTGGAGGAAGAGAGGCGTTCTTGTTTTTGGAATTTTCAGCCTTTTTGTGCTGGTTTTTCCCCATCTTTGTGGATTTATCTACCTTTTGTCTTTGATATTGGTGACTTTCGGATGGGGTCTTTCGGTGGACGTGCTAATTCTTTCTGTTTGTTTGTTTCCTTCTAACAGTCAGGCCCCTCTGCGGCCAGTCTGCTGGAGTTTTCTGACCCTGTTTGCCTGAGTATCACCAGCGTAGGCTGCAGAGCAGCAAAGATTGCTGCCCGTTCTTTCCTCTGGAAGCTTCAACCCAGAGGGACACCTGCCAGATGCCAACCAGAGCTCTCCTGTGTGAGGTGTCTGTTGGCCCCAACTGGGAGGCGTCTCCCAGTCAGTATACTTGGGGGTCAGGGACCCACTTGAGGAGGCAGACTGACCCTTAGCAGAGCTCGAATGCTGTGCTGGGAGGTCTGCTGCTCTCTTCAGAGCCATCAGGCAGAGACGTTTAAGTCTGCTATAAGCTCCTGACTGGGGCTGCTGCCTTTTTTACAGAGATAGCCTGTCCAGAGAGGAGAAATCTCAATTTTATCCTTTTCTTAATGTGAGAGTATACCTGCAGAATAAATTCATACTTTCTCTCTTTTTATTTCTGGAATGGGGATTCTAGGAGGACAGTCCATGTTTTATTCATCTCCCCATGTCTAATGCCTATCATAGTACCTGACACATAATGGGCACTGCAAATGTTTGTATGAGTGGACTTCAGATTTCATTGCAGGTTGACTCTAAGTTTTAAACAGAGGATTCTGTTTCATTGCAAGGACTGCAGATCCAAGCCTTGTCACCTATCGGACACACATGCACACTTAAAAAAAAATTTCTGGGTGAAATTCATCACCAGTACTAGAACATTTAATACTTTTCTCTGATATTGAGTTTATAGCATCCTTTTCTTTTTTTTTTCTTTTAACCTAGAGCACTTAAGTTTACACACTGAACTCCTTGTACTAGAGTCCTTTTCTTTCTCAGGAATTATTTATCTGTAGCCAGATCTCCTGCCTGGGTGTTATGACCAGACAGCCCAGGGGAGAGTCCTCACATATGGGTTGTTGAAAGTATACTGTTGTGGGCATATTAGTTTGTGTTGGCTAGACTATGGTAACAGGTACCCCCTAAACATGTACTGGCTCAGCAGACTCACAGATGTGCAGTGGCTCTGCACTGCTGGAGTTTGTTTCTCAATGACATAATTATTCTAGGTAGGTTTCCTCCACGCAGTCATTCAGGAACCCAGACTCCTTGTGTCTTGTGGCTCCTCCAACCCCTAAGTCTTTTGTCATTGTTTCACATCCAGCCAGCGGGAGCAAAAAGGAGTGGAGGAGTGTACATGAGAAGTTTATGAATCAGCCTGGAAGTACTACACCTCTTAAATTTTTTAGGATAGAGCTCAGTGATATGACCCTACCCAACTGTAAGGGAGCCTGGGAAATACAGTAGAATTGTGTGCCTAGGAAGGAAGAAGGAATTTTTATGAACAGCTAGCAGTTTCTGCCATAGTCTGCCCCCGTGGCAACCAGTGTCTATATATCCCTGTGAGCAAAGGGCTTTAAAAAAAAAATTCTTTATGGAAAAATGACCATGGGTTAACTTACCAGTTCATTTTCCCTAGAAACAGATAAAATTGGAATATCAGCTGTGTTAATAAAAAATATTGCTGTATTTTAAAAAGAGGCCCCTGGTTTGTAAACTGCATCTGAACTGAGAGAACTGTGAATGAGCTCTGAATACAGTTAGGAGCCCATAGCAATGGTTTTTCCTGAGAGCAATGCAACCCTTGTAGTGGAGTGTGCCCCCTCCTTGGTGACTATGAAGCCACATTTATGGAACTGTTATAAAAGATACTGGTTCTGGTGTGGAGCTTGGGGCAGTTAAGCCAGGATAGCTCCTGCACCTACCTGCTAACTAAGAAGTCATTTGGGTAGCTAGATAAGAATCCTTGGAATGCCGTAAAGACTTCTGCTGAGACACTTGCCGCTGCCCAGCGGGCATGTGCTGTGTTTCCTTTGTATAAAGCTGTGTGCCCTTGGCTGTCTTGAGCTTTGTCAGTTTGAGGGCCAAGTTGCTGCAGAGATCAACAATAGTGGGTGTTGCAGAATCCTACTTCCCAAACAGAACACATCTCTACCCCAAAGGATGCAAGCAGGATATCCAGCTCAGGGTGCAGGACTGCCGCGTGACTTTCAATTCTCTGTCAGACTACATGTGGTCACTTGTACAGACACCCATACCCCAAAGAAGATGAATAATTTACCCCTCCCACATTCATGATAAACACAGCAGGGACAGGATATCCACCACAAAAACTCTCTTTCAGAGAAGGAAGAAATGAGAAACATAAGACAGTTACTGGTCCCTAACAGTGATGAATCCCACTGGGAGGGCATGAATGCTCCCTGTCCTGGTAGCAGCAGAAATCCCCCGATTAGATGAAATATGTCCCATCCGGTGTTTGGAACGTATACTAAATTTAATTGTGCGTCCTACATCTTGATTTGCAAAATATGGCAACCCTAAATGGGGTCTGCAGAGCTTTCAGGGCCAACTTCTATTATGCTGGAAGACTCAAGGAGTCAAAGGTTTTTTGTTTTTTGTTTTTGTTTTTGTTTTTTGGCCAGGCTGATGGTTTCTTTGGCAATGCAATTTCTTTAAAAACTTGGAACATAGGTTTCTGAACTGTTTACATCCAAACAATTCAAAGGGCCAGTAACCTGTCTAAGCTCTTCCCTAGGCATAGTTTATAGGACTGCTTTATTTCTTCAGTTTCTCACCCCTGTTCTGCTTTCTGAAATTAATGTTGACTACCTTGAGGCCATTTGCTACAAAAGTTTGGGTGGAAAGACAACACCCTTAATCTGATCTTTGCCTCAGAGCTGAGTTTGTTTACCTGGGGAATTTTACTGGGCCTTGTTTCTCAAAGCCTTTTTTCATACTTACTTCTGTAACTTGTGGTCTAAAAGTCAGTGGGTTTTCTAACCCTGTGAATCCTGTTTCTTTTCATCTCTGCTTGAAAGCCAACTAGTTCTTGCCTGAGCTTTTCTGTTTTTTTCTACTGCCCTGCTAAATGCATTAGGCTAACAGCAACACCTACTAACATTTGGCTTTTCCAGCCTCTTCTCCCAGAGCTCGTAAGTTTAGGAGCCCCTTGGGCTACATTCCAAGTTTTATCTAATATTTTGCCAATGCATAATATTAGGATTTCAAACATTCATGTGTTTCTCTACTGCCCAAGGCCTGACCACTAAGCTAATGTGTCAAGGTATCCATTCCATATGTGTGACCACAATAGCACACAGAAGTAACACATAATGACTCAGCAAAGTAGAAGTTGATCTCTTGTCCACATGATAGCCCTGGTGGGGTTTAGGTCTGCACAATAGCTTTCTTCCAGGTGGTAAGTCAGGGACCCAGGCTTTGCCTATCAGTGGCTCTGCCATCCCTGAGCTCTCGCCATTATCTTAGTTCATTTAGTGTTAGAGGAACGATCGCAGAGGGGCATTCTGGGTCAGTCTGGATATAGTCCTGCCATTTCTGTTTACTTGACATTGGTTAAAGCAATCCGATGGCTACATCTGGTTGCAAGGAAGAATAAGAAACATAGTCCAGCTGTGTGCCCAGGAGGAGGAGAGTGAGTTTTAATGGGTAGCTCCAGTCTCTGCCACGACTGTCGAAAGAAAGCAGTTGATAAATTGGTTCTTGGTGCTACCAAGGTAAGTGATCAGGTTTTTTAATCCAATTTTTTTGTGTCATGATGAATCCATTTTTTAACATTTCTGTCACAAACAATAAGCAGTAATACACAATTGTATAAATATGTTCTGTTTTTTTTTCTTTTCTAGTCAACGAAACGGAATATTCCAATGCTCTTTGTCCGGGGAGATGGCGTTGTCCTGGTTGCCCCTCCATTGAGAGTTGGCTGAAACAAAGAATTTGTCCTGTATGGAAAACAGGAGACTTTGTACAGTGGCCTTTCTAAATGTACAAAACATTCAAAAGAGAAACCTGCATACATTTTGATATTAAGAAATAATTCTGGGGATTCTTCCACGCCTGAAATGAGTTGATTTGCAGATAACTCACAACTTCTTAAGTGAAATGGTATTTTCATTTTTCTTAAGCTCTTCCAATAAATATGACCACCAAGATGCAGAACTCTTATTCAGGACTTGTTTGCTCCATTATTCTCACAGATATTTTTCTCATTTTTTTTTCTTTAAATTGGTGTTTCCTCGTAGATTTTTTTCAGTGCCGTCTTCTGTCTTGTAAATGATTTAAGGTGAGCCCACGTCTTACCTTAGCACACATTTGCAGTGCACCTACTGTGTTTCAGGCACCAGGTTTGAGTGCTGGCAACCAGAGTTTTACCAAAATGCTGTCTGGGCCAGACACAGTGGCTCACGCCTGTAATCCCAGCAGTTGGGAGGCAGGTGGATCACCTGAGGTCAGGCGTTTGAGACCAGCCTGGCCAACGTGGTGAAACCCCGTCTCTACTAAAAATACAAAAATTAGCCAGGCGTGGTGGCACATACTTGTAATCCCAGCTATTCAGGAAGCTGAGGCAGTAGAATCACTTGAACCCGGGAGGCAGAGGTTGCAGTGAGCCAAGATCACACCATTGCACTTCAGCCTGGGCAACAAGAGCGAGACTCTGTGTCCAACAAAAAAAAAAATTCTGCCCTCAAATCTTCTGGGGAGGCAGATGTTTAAACCAACAATTGCAGGCAGTAAGATTAGTGCTGATAGAATCATGCACATGCAGGATGCCATAGGAGCATGGGGAAGAGCACCCAAATATGGGAGAAAGGGGCAGACGGACATTGTAAACATTAACCCTGCAATAGAAGACAGAACAAACCACGATTTCTCTTTTCTCTGGCCGGATTTAATTCTAAGGTCAGACGTGGTTCAGCTTGGTCATACCTGCTTATAATTATGATTCAAACCATTTTTCTACTCTTGGATCATTGGCCATTAATGATGAGGGGTCTCAAACAACATGTCTCAGTGGCACAGTAAAGCAGAAATTGGCTAAAAGCAAAGTTATTTTTATTTCTAGCTTCAGTCAGCACATAATGCTTAAAACCTAAAGAGAAAAGGAAAAGCATGTTACAATCTCTCCAACTTTATCAAGACAGGACTTAGAACCTGGCCTTCTCCACTATGGTCATTCCATTTTGAAATGTAGAAAATCCAACTTGTGGATGGTCTGTCCATAAATGAGCTGAATGTGTGTGTGTGTTCATTATCAAGCACAGTATGCTCACAAATGCACAGTACTTTAAGCCTTGTGCAAGAAAGATGCTTTCAGTAGACATATTTAAAAGGTTTTATTTTCCTTACTAATGGTACATGCCCCTGCAAGTTCATGGAGTGGAGAAAAACAAGTGTGGGTGAGTTGATGGAGGTTTCATCTTAGGTGAGGAGGCAGGAGAGACACCCTCCCTTCACTTGTGCTATCCCCACACTTTGTCCTTAAACTGTAGTGGTCCCAGGAGGTGACCTGTTTACAGCAGCCCGTTCACTATTGAAAAATGAACTCCCTCCTGCAGAATGTTAGAAGAAACAACCTCAAAGACCTCAAGCCACCTGTGGTTATTAGTGCATGGCAGCAAGATTGAACCTGCCTGCCTCCTACCTGTGTGAGCCTGTGGTGTGGGTGTGGTGCCAAGGCCTTGGCTCTGGGCAGTCTGTTGGCTCCTAGTGTTCACTACAGTGTGGTGTGACAGGCCATCTGGCCTCACTCTGCCAGTCTGCAGTTCTCCCCAGCGCTACATTCATTTTTAGTGGTTTCTGATAGTCACACTGAATTTCTGGACACTTTCTTCTCTTCATTCTTAGTTACATTTCTCCTTTTTCTCTGGGAACTGATAGTTTACACTAAAACTTTTGGCTATGAGGACTGATTATACACATTTCTAAAACCCATGAACCTTAATATCTGACATTGTTACTCTCACATGCACATCCAACTACAACATACCAACCCACTTCATTTCCTAGCTGCTAAGATACAGGGGGAGGGACGATAAAAGGTTAACAGCAGAATAGCCACCTGTGTGTTAGTAAATGGAGGGAGGGGAGGCAATGTGTGAGTCCTTTTAGAGCTGGGACTCAATCCACAAGAGACAGCTCAAGCAGGACCCTGCCATGGTCCACATTGAGGTTTCCTCTGCAGGGGTGCTGTCCACTGAGGGATTATGCTGTGAGGGCCCCTGGGAGCCACGCCTTGGGCTTCTGAGTCTGCAGAGCACTCGGCTCCAGCCAGCTGGATGGCCGTGGTCACTGGAGCTGGTGACTGGTGGTTTCTGCAACGAGGTGTCAGATTAGCCTAAGGGGAGCCTCTCCAGCAGGTGTCATGCCTGGATCCCTGTCTTGGTGGTTTTATGAAAGAAGCTGATATGAATTGCCATTGCCTTCCACAAAGAAAAATGGACAAAATATGGGACCACATATTTGAGATGGAATGTACCCAAAATGAAAAGTAACTTGAGTATCCCAAGTTAAACTTAATCATTAGCTACAAATGGACGATTTTCAAATTTCAAATGTGATTTTTGAAGATTTGCCCAAACTAGACTACTATCCCTCTACACACTAAGAGGCAGAAAGTGGTTTCACACACCCTTTAATTTAATTTTGTGTATATTACTTAGTTAAACTGGGTGCGGTGAGGCACACCTGCAAACTCAACCACTAAGGAGACTGAGGTGGGAGGATTACTTGAGCCCAGGAGTTGGAGATCAGGCTGGGCAACATTAACAAGACCCTGTCTCAAATAATACTTAGCTATTGCCCATATTGCTTTTAGCCTGCTGCCAGGAGGCGAGGAATGTTCCATTGTTTGAACAGATGTGAGGTGTGAGTAATGCTCAGCTATGTTCAATGTAGAAAATTAATAAAAGTTTCAGAAGTCATCCTGGCTAGATCAAGAAGCACAATTGATGTTTCTCTGTCACTCAGCTCTGCTGAACCACGTGGATTTCGTTCACGGGCAAGCTCCTCCCTGTAGCAGATGCAGACTTCCAGCCTACCTGCCCTCCAGCTGCAGTGGGCTCATCCTCCTTGCTTGGTCCCTGTGCCCAGCTGTGGGCTGGTTTTTACGGCCCTGAGAATGTGGGACTCTGATTGGTCAGGCCTTAGTCACACGTCCATTCCTGGAACTAAGAGCAAGGTTATCCCCACGTGAACTGTGTGGTCTGAGTGTAGAGGGAGGGGTTGTTCTCTAAAGGAAACCAGAGGGAAGGGGGAATGGAGCTGGACACAATGCCTATTACAGAGGAAAACTTTTAGTCTGCCCCAACTTATAGGAAAATAAGTCCCTTTGGTACTTTGCTATTAGTAACAAATTTCTTAGAACACACCTCAGACTGACACTTTGACTTTAAGCTATTGCTCTGGAATCCAGGAGGTTCTGGAGCAACCTGTGTGGGGATCAGTATGGGTGGAGCTCAGATTTGTTGGCTGACTGGGCCTGAGTCCTCTCGAGGGGTCTAGGTAGGAGATGGGCAACACAAGAGGGCTGTTAAGCTGGGGGTGGGTATCGGGGTCCTCAGAGCTTCCAGGGAGGGCAGGGTACTTGAACAGAGTGGACTGAAGAACACTAAGCTCCATGAGACAAATTGCTGCTTACAGACAGAGACCATATTCACAACCCCTGGCACAGGGCCTGGCCAAGAATTTGTCTTCAATAAATGTTGAATGAATATTTAAATGACAAGAAGACTAGTGCAACAGGGCTTTGTGATCAGCACTGTGGATGGAAGGTTCAAATGGGAGTTTGAAAGAAGGTGAACTTTGCACGTTGTTTTCCAGACACTTGTGGTTTCCTTCCTACAAGAGGACAATGTTCCCCATTTTTTACCCTCGTGGCCATCCTCCCCAGTACCATTTACCTGAAAATATCAGTATTTGCCAACTCCAGATACCTAACTAGTTATTAATTTACATGGAAAACTAATACGAAGAAACAAGGAAGATAAGGCCAAATGCTTTAAATTCCTTTAGATGCATTGCCCAATTTTAATAAACCAGAGCATGTAGGTTCTTATTTCCTTGGCTGCTTCTAGAAATATCCTGGGTGTGGAGGCAGCATGCCCCATTGCAGTTTCTGATATTGATTACTCCAGAGGAATGTTTTCTTGGTGCTCATCCCACCCACCTGCAGTGCTGCAGGGATCTGGGCTTGAGTGTTGACACAAGCCCCAGAGTGACCCTTAGTGAGGTGCAGAACTGACCATACAGGGTCTAGCAGTGCAGCGGGGTCAGAGAAACCTGGCTGTGAGTTCCTGCTGTGTCACGTACCAGCTAGGCAAATAGCTTCTGTCCTAAGGTCAGTTGTAAGGGCTGGAAAGTGGCCCTAGGAGCAGGCTAGGGTGGTGCTGGGATGTTACTGCCAAATCACTGACACCAGGGTCACAGGCACAGAGGTGGAAGGGGCACTGGGAGGCCACTCCTTCAGCTTATTCCAAATGTGCCTGCTCTTTCCTTTCCCAGATAGTTTTCAGGAGAATGATGAATTTGAAATAACTTGATTTGTTCCATTGAAAGTTATTTTCAGATGTCTGCTCTGTGCCAGGATCTGTCCACAGAGGCCTGAGCAAGACCAACTATGTGCACGATGCTAAGAGCTGGGAAGGACCTGAAGTGGGTGAGGAGATGGGAGGTGACATGGTGTTGTCGGGGGTGAGGGGGGATGGGGCTCAGGCAGAGGTCTGTCTCAGCAGAGAACACTTGAGTGGACATCTGAACAGCAGGAGGGAACAGGCCCCGAGGGGATTTGGCAAAACAGCATTCTTCCAGAAACTGGAGGCCGTGCAGAGGCTCTGAGATGAGGGTTTTCCTGGTGGAGGGTCGGCAAGGAGGCCAGTCGGCATGGGAAGAGTGAGCCAAAAGTCTGAGACCTGGGAAGTCCAGGTGTCATTCAGCACCTTCATTTCACAGAAGGGGATGAAGAGCCCAAGAGTGAAATAGACTTGCCTGAGGCCACCGTGAGTCCAGGCTAATCTAGTTCTAAAGCCTAAATAAAGGCCACTGTGTGCCCCAGCTCCAGTGGTGCCGCTCATACTGTAGCCTCTGGAGCCGTGCAGTGTGCCGCTCCTGCAGCTACATGGTTCCCTTCTTCCGATCACAGGCCAGCATTTCACCATCCTTTCTCT